GCTCTAGCTTTCTATTTGCGGGAGGGGAAATGCCCGAATCAAGCCCGCTTGAGCCATTCTGTCCAACCTAAGGGGAGAGGGGGCATTGAAAAAATACTAAGGAATGTTTGAAGTTCAAGTCCAGAGGCAGAGAAGATTGTGTATGTTGCTGTTCTTGAAGGTAGGAGTCTATACATGTCAATTATATCCAGTTGATTGATGGTGCTCTTGAGTTCATTTTCATGATTATCTACCTGCTGGATCTGTCCATTTCTGACAGAGGGATCTTGAAAACTCCAACTATGATAGCGAATTTATTTATTTCTCCTTGCAGTGCTATCAATTTTTATCTTAGTTTGATGTACTGTTGTTAGGCACATACACATTAAGGGTTGCTATATCCTCTCGAAATATTTATCCCTTCATCATTATGTAATGTACCTCTTTATCCCTGAAAACTTTCCTTGCTCTGAAATCCCTTCTGTCTGAAATTAATATAGCTACTTCTGATCTCTTTTAATTAGTGTCCCTAGGATGGTATATCTTTCTTCATCCCTTTACTTGAATCTATACGAGCCTTTATATTTAATGGGGGTTTCTTGTAGACAGCTTATAGTTGGGTCTGGTTTTTTATCCACTCTGACAATCTCTGTATTTTAATTGGTATATTTAGACCACTGATGGTTAAAGTGATTATTGATATAGCTGGATTAATATCTACCATATTCGTTGCATTTTTCTATTTGTTTCCTTTGTTTCTATTTTTGTCTTCCACAGATGTTTACCTTTTTGGTTTTGTTTTGTTTTTTTATTATCCTCACCCGAGGACATTTTTCCCGAGGACATTTTTCCAATTTTTTGTTGAGATAGAGTGTGGGAGGGAGAGAGAGAGAGAGAAACATCGACGTGAAAGGGACACATCGAGTGGCTGCCACCCGCACGACCAACCAGGGCCGGGGCCAAACTGCAACCGAGGTACATGCCCTTAGCGGGAACCGAACCCGGGTCTCTCAGGACCGCAGGCCGACGCTCCAACCGCTGAGCCAAACCGGCCAGGGCACCTTTTGTGGTTTTAATGGAGCATTTTATAGTATTCCATTTTCTCTCCTTTCTAAGCATATCAATTATGCTTCTTTTTTTGTTTTTTTAGTGGTGTCCCCAGAATTCATCATATCCAATTAAAAATAATACAAGTCTGCTTTCAAGTGTCACTATACCATTTCACAGGTAGTGAAAGTACTTTATAATCACAAAATATTCCCGATTCCTCATTTCATTTATACCTATGCATATGTGTATGCATAAAATTGAATATGTTGTTGCTACTATCATTTTAAACAAATAGTTATATGTTAGATCAATTAAGAATAAGAGAAAAAGGTTTGTATTTTTACCTTCACTTATTCCTTCTGTTGTTCCTCCTTTCTTTATGTAGATCAAAATTTTTCACTTACATTATTTTCTATCTCTCTGAAGAACTTCTTTTAATATTTCTTGCAAGGTAGGTCTTTTGGCAACAAATGTTCTCAATTTTTGCTAGTATGTGGAAGTTTGGGGGGAACTCCTTAGTCATTATTGTTACAAATATTTGTTTTCTTCCATTCTCTCTTTTCCTTCTGGTGTTCCCGTTATGCATGTGTTATACCTTTAGTAGTTATCCCACAGTACTTAGACATTCTGTTGTGTTTTTCACAACCTTTGTTTTCTTTCCTTTCCAGTTTTGGAGGTTTCTGTTGACATGGTATGTAGAAACCATTTTTTCCCCAATGTAATCTGGTAAAATTGTTCTTCAATCTCAGATTTTTCCCCTGCTGCACCTAGTCTAGTAATCAGCCTGTCAAAGTCATTCTTCATTTCTGTTAGTGTTTTCAATGTCTAGCATTTCTTTTTTATTCTTTCTTAGAAAATCATGTCACTGCTTACATTATCTTTCTGTTTTTACAGGTTGTCTATTTTTTCAATTATAACCCTTAGCACATTAATCACTGCACTCTGATAAAATAGTTTCCATAGAGGGGATAAATGATGATGGAAAAAATACAATTAACCCAGCTGGTGTGGCTCAGTGGTTGAGCATCGACATGCACTAAGAGGTCACTGGTTCAATTCCCGGTCAGGACACATGCCCAGGTTTTGGGCCCGATCCCTAGTGTGGGGCATGCAGGAGGCGGCCAATCAATGTTCTCTCTTATTGATGTTTCTATCTCTCTCTCCCTCTCACTTCCTCTCTCCCTAAAATTAATAAAGAAGAAAAATGTTTAAAAAAAAGAAAAAAATACAATTAAATTAAATAAACAAACTAAATAAAAATAAATAAATAAAATAAAATAAAAGTTTCCACTTGGGGGCCTGTCCTGTTAAGAAGAAAAGAATGGCCCTGGTCAGTTTTGCTCAGTGGTTAGAGCGTCGGCCTGTGGTCCAGAGAGACCCTGGTTCAGTTCCCACTAAGGACACGTACCTCGGTTGCAGTTTGTCCCCGGCCCTGGTTGGGTCATGTGGGAGGCAGCCACTCGATGTGTCCCTTTCACGTCGATGTTTCTCTCTCTTTCTCTCTCTCTCTCTCTCTCTCTCTCTCTCTCTCTCTCTCTCTCCTTCCCACTCTCTCTGAATAAAAAATGGAAAAATGTCCTAGGGTGAGGATTTAAAAAGAAGAAGAAGAAAAGAATGTTCTATCATATTTCAAAAATGGTTCTTTTCCCTCCCCAAGCCAGAAACATGAGGGGATTTTTCTCCAATATTCACTGTAAGGACCTGAAAGAGCTCCTCTAGGTAAATCAAACAAAAGTGTGTGGGTCCCCCTATGACTGGGTCCTCCCTGGAGGCTTAACTCTCAGAATTGTCCATGCGGAGCCTTCAGCAATTCATCAGTTATGGTTCAGGTTTTCCTACCCTGGCACCGGTTCCCATGAAAGTTTCTGCTCGTGTATTTCTGCTCTGTAAATTGTGATTCTCTGTGTCCATCTCTCTTTCTTTCCAGGTTTCCTGCATGGATTTGCTTTGCTCTGTGACCTTACATCTTTGATGAATCTAAGAAGAGTTGCTCTTTCAGTCTGTTCAGCATTTAATTTGTTGTTAGGATGGAGTGTTGACTTCCAAGCTTCTTGCACGCTGGACCAGAAACAGCATGCCTCTAGACTTTTGAAAATTACTTGTTAAAGTTTAGGATAGTTTCAGATGTACCAAAAAAGTTGCAAAAATAGTATAAAGAGTTCGTGTAAACCTCAGACTGAATTTCTCCTGCTGTTAGCATCTTACACTGGTATGTACATTTGTCACAGTTTCTAAACCATTGTTAATAAGCTACTGTGATATAAAGTCTATGCCTTGTGCAGATGCCCTCAGTGGATCTATCGTCCTTCTGTTCCAGGTTGCCATATCACCTTTAGTCATCACATCGCTTCAGGCTTCTCTTTGTGACTTCCTTTTGCTCAGACTTCCTTTTCTGTTTCTTTGTTTTTGATGACCATGACAGTTTTATGAAGTACTCATCACGTATTTTGCAGAAAAGACCTCAATGTTATTGAGTCTTGTGTTTCTCTCAATATTAGGCTGGAGTAACTGGGGGAGGGGAATAATACCACAGAAATAAATGATATTCGCATCACTTGATAGCAGGAATAATACATGGTATCAACACGACTTATCATTGATGATATTAAACATGATCCCCTGCTCCAGGTAGTGTTCTCTAGGTTTCTCCACCCAAAAAATTACCTTTTGCCCCCATTTTTATACTCTGTTCTTTGAAAGCAAATCATTAAACAAAGTCCACCTGAAACCGGAAGAAGGAGACTTAGCTTCACCTCTCGGAAAGGGGAGTAGCTACAAAAAGTATTTGTAATTTTACTATAAGGAAGTGTTGTCTCTTCTCCCACATTTATTTATTCAAGCAACGATCTAGATCAGTGTGAACTTCTGGAGATTTCTTTTATTCTTTGCCTTATAATCAAACACTTTATTATTTATTGTGTTTCATAAATTGTTCCAGCTTTGGTTACTAGGAAATTTTACTGATTAGCTCCTGTGCCCCTTTGACACACCTTCATCCTTTTATTTTCTGAGCACTACCCTTACTTTCTGACCCGATAACATGTTCCAGGCTCATCTTCTCTATTCCTTGTCCCAGTGCAAAAGAAAGCCATTATTTTTTCTACTCACAAAGCAGTTCTAGGTTCTGAATTATATAAGCATCAAAACATGGTAAGAGCAAACTGCTACTTACTGAATCTTGCTATGTGCCAGACACTGAGCTATGCATTTTATATACCTCATTTCTCCTAATGTGCACTACATTTTAAGGAGGTAAGCATTGTCACCCTAATGGTACAAACAAGGGAACAGAGATTCAGAGGAATTGAATAACTTGCCAAGGTCAAATAGAGTAAATGACAGGACCCTGACAGAGTCTGCTTCCTAAATCATGATCTTAACCATTATTTTATTCAGTTTCCTGCTCTATTCACTAGAAAGGTAGACAAAATAAACAACACGAATCCTTTCTGTAGATGATTCGGGAGGGGGGATTTATCTCTGGTTCTGAAACACTGACTTTCTCATATTTTTAAAAAATTTAAGTAGAAGATCTGGTATTCAACAAAGTAATATTAGATGTAATTAAACCATCAATAATAAGAATTCCTGATTGAAAAGATTTGTCTCTTTGAGATCCTTTTTCCAAAAGCTCCCTCATTTGAAATTATTTCTAAAGCCATGTTCAATTTCCTCTGAGCCTCTATTATGATAGCTTTATATCCTTTGTCTTATATCCTCATCTTTCCTCAGCCAACCTTCTCAAAATGTTATGCCTGACAGCCATTATTAGTATCCCTGAATGATTATATAATTATTGGCATTATTAATTTCAGCAATATAACATTCAGCAGAAGAAATGGAGAACTAATCAAGATGGAATGTTCAGATCCCAGCATGTGAAGACCTCGGGTAAATATTCATTTGGATATTGGGGATTTAAAGTATGCAACTTTCATTAATATTTGACAATATCTTTTCTCATTTTCCAGGTGTGGAAATTGGCACCCATAACACAGAGCCATCTAGCATCAAAAGCATCAGCCAATCTGATTCATGCTAAGCCAGCTTCACTCTGTTCTCCAGGTAAGCGAGGAGGCTTTTTGTGTGATAAACAGTTGGAGGTTGAAACTTTCTTTGTGTTCCAACTCTGCATAAGAAGAATGTATGTATTAGCAGGGCTATTCCACAACATCCCACATATAATGGGAACCAGGCATAGCACTAGTTCTACCTATCTGTATTCACTGCACCTTGGGTCAGGAATCCAAGTGAAGGCCAGAGGCATCATTTTAATGATGCTCATCCAATGCCTTGAATTTTAATAGCACCCTTCTTGTGAGAACCTCCAGGCTTCGCTCATCTCCCAAGAATTCAAATAAATGTGGCATGGGGTGGGTCTGAAGGGACTTAGAAAATTCGGAACTTTACAGGGGTACTTACAGAGACATAGTTAAGGTAAGACCCAGGCCATGGATTTTTTTTTTTTTTTAATTTTCTTGTCATTTTGGCTCTACCGAGAGCAGAGTTGGCCTTGTCCAAGAGGAAATGAGTGATGTGACTTAATGGATGGTATGGAAAAACATTTTTTAATTCTCTGTATTGCTACCCGTACTAGATATCTTCCATTTATCTTTTACATCCATGCACTACCCTGCCCTGTGTTCCAGGAGAGCGAGGTGCATGAATCAGATAAACAGGGTCCCCTTTTCTTCTGGTTTTAGATTGACTTTGATTAATGGGGAGGTCTGGTAGGGGACTAGCAGGTGTAGGGAGAATAAGAGTGGCCTATTTACTATTTGGGTCCTTTCCCTGCAGACTCTATGGGGTGGCTGTGCCTTTGGCTCAAGGTCACAGTTTTTATCAGGTTATCAGGTTGCTCTCTCCACACAGTCCCTTCCCCTTGTCCTTTCAGACCTAGGGAGGTAATCAACTACCTCACCCCCACCCCCATGGTACTAACCCCACAACCCTGCACTATCCCTTATGGTTGTGCTATGGCATGCCCACTACTTTGTAAATAGACCCTTTATTTACATCCATTCAAATTATTTGTGTTTGTCAGTGGTTTCCATCAATACTCTGATACCCTATCCTGTGATAGTGTCTGAAACTCTGTCATTAGAGATTTATTCCTTTGGCTTTCAGTGTGCCATCAGAAGAACACTATTAGGAACATCAAATCCATGAGCAATCACTTACATATCTGTATAAAACATAAGCGTTTCCCAATTTAATATCTTGCCATATGTGGCATAATTCAAGGAAGGGCCATAAAGTAATTTATCAATAGACTGTTGACAGGTGATATATGTTACTTTTATATTCCACATGAATGCAGTGTATTATAGTAGTTAAAAGTTGTATCCTCTAAATTTTAATCATGGTTCTGTTGATGAATAATTGTGTAACTCTGAATAATTTTCTTACCATCCCGGTTCTTAGTTTCATCATCTGGAAAATAGGAGTAATAACGATACCTACCCCGTGGGGTTCTTATGATGATTAAATAAGTTAGTCATTCCAAGTACCTAACATAGCACACATAACTTCAATAAATGCTTGCTATTAACACCTAGCATATTTATTAATCTATGAGTCCATTAATTCAATAAATGTTGAATTCCAATTATATGTCAGGTACAACCACAAGTGGTCTTACTTACATGTAACTTAAGGTGTACATCAAGAGGCAAAAATACAAGGACATAAAAAAGTAATCCTAAATCACAGTCATAAGTATGTGTAAAACTGGACAGACACAATGTAGGAGAAGTGCTTGGCATCCTATGATGAAACATAGAGGCGTTCTACTCTGAAGGACAAGTAAGAGTGAATTAGACAATGAGGAAAGAGAGATCCAAACACCGGAAAAAACAAGTGCAAATACATGACGGGGGATGGGGGAGTAGTGACTGAATGACTAGAAAACCTCAGCTTGTTATAGAGAGCAAAATCCAGGTAGAGATGTAGTTTAGGGGTAGATAGACAGGGCCTTGCCCACAATGTAAGAAAACCTGCCTTTGTCTTCATGGAAATTGGAAGCCACTGAAGGTTTTAAATGTGTATGTGTATGGGGGGGTGGGCAGCTCCCTGTATTTTTCTTTAAAGTCATATTAACCAACTGCATTGTGGGGATGTAAGATGGATGGAAACAGACTAATTAGGAGGCTATTGCAGTAGTTCAGGGAAGAGATGATGATCGCTTTGACTGAAGTGGTGGCAGTGAAGAATGAAAATAGCGGGTGGATTTAAAATGCATAATGAGCAGGACTTAATGATGGATTGTATGTAGAAAGTAGACATTTCAAGGATGGCGTCAAGTTTTCCTGATTTGTGGAACTGGCTAGACAGTGGTGCCATTCATTGAGTTAGGACACACTGAAGAAGAACCAAGTTGGCAGTAGAGAGATCACGTGTTCTATTTTGGGTATGTTCCATGTGAATTAATCTTGAAACATTCAAGAATATGTCATATTTTAAAAAGTTGAATGACCTTAGATGTATACCATCAACCCATATTTTATAAGGAAATAAATAACATGATCTTTATGGGTTTCTTCCTACTCTTAAGTTCTAAATACTCATCCTGATTTCATCACCAACTATATGGTCTTTGGCAAGACATTCACCTTTCTCGAATCTTAGTTTTGTCAACTGCAAAATGAAGAGGTTGAATGATGTGATCTACAAAAATAATGTACCCGAATTCTCTAAAGTTCTTTGATTTTATAAAAGTTAATAAGTAAGCAAAGGACAGGAGCCAATTTTCATAGTTTTATACTCTAATCATATAATTCTACCTCCTCCTATTCCCTAAATGAATAGCACAGAGTTAACTGCTACTTTAAATTAGGAACAAAGTAACAACTAGAATATGCCAACTAGATATATTAAAGTCAATTATTTGACTAATAGAAATCAAGTACATGGGTGTTGTGGATCAAACTTTTGAAGACTAAAGATATCTGCTTTTTTGTTACCTTTCTTTAACAACAACCAATTCACTCAACTAGCTAATTATTTAAGTTTCCATTTTACTTCTTTCATTTCAAATTGCTCACATCTATTATTATTGGTGTTAATGTGTCTATAGTTTTATTTGATGACTCCAAAATGACTTGAGGAAACTAATAATAAAAGACATCTCAGAGCAATATAGTTGCTAAAAATGAAAGTAAATACATCTATTAAATATGGAGCAAAGGGTAGCAAAAATCTCAAATATTCCCCTAAGTGAATATAATTACTGAGTGAGAATGAGGCTTAAGTGACCTTCTTGGTAAACAAAACAGAGAGCTACATGAGTATTTATATTATATTCATAGTCTGAAATATGTCAGCACTTTAGGAACAAATTTTCTCCTCTGGACTACATTCTAAAAGGAATTACAGTAAAGTCCTCACTTAGCAGTGTTGATGGATTCTGCAACTTAGAGCAAAATGATGTATAATGAAACCAATTTTACCACAGGCTAACTGATATATACAAGAGTTAAGTTCCTACCGCATCACATCAATGTTAAAATGAAATGATGTTAGTCAAGGACTGGCTGTAATTACATAGATTCTTAGACTGGAGACACTGAAAAATAACACAGTACTTTTCTGTCTTTCTAGAAAATAAGAGTGCCCAAGCTCTAGAAAACAGTGGGGATGTGGGAGGTGACACAAAGAAAGAGAATGACCATTACTTGTACTTACAGGAGACCTGTATTTTTTTTTTTTATCCTCACCTGAGGATATTTTTTCTATTGATTTCCAGACAGAATAGGAGGGAAGGAGGGAGGGAGGAAGAGAGAGAGAGGGAGAAACATCGATGTGAGAGAGACACATCAAGTGGCTGCCTCCTGCACAACCCCAACCAGGGCCAGGGATTGAACCGCAACTGAGGTACGTGCCCTTGACAAGAATCGAACCCATGACTCTTTGGTCCATGGGCGGGTACTCCAACCTTCTTCTTTCTAAAATCAATAAAGAATAGTGCTGCTACGAACATCAGAGTACATATATTCTTTCTGAATGGTGTTTCAGGTTTCTTAGACAAATGAATAAAAAAGCTATGGTACATATATACAATGGAGTACTATGCAGCTGTAAGAAAGAAAGATCTCTTATCCTTTGAGATGGCATAGAAGGACCTGGAGAGTATCATCCTAAGCGAAACAAGCCAAACAGAGAAAGACAGGTATCATATGATCTCACTTATTTGTGGAATATAATAAACATAACAGTCTGAGGAATGGGGTAGTCCCAAAGACGTGGAGGTGGGGTACAGACTGACAATCCCCAGAAGAGGTGGTGGTGGGGGAGAGATAAACCACAGAACTTATATGCATGTGTGCATGAACAGTGGACATGGACAACAAAGCTGGGGACAGGGTGGGGAGGGGGAATCAGTGGGGGGGGGGAGAAACATCTGTGACAAAAATAAATTAATTAATTAAAAAAATAAAATAAAATCAATAAGGAAAAAGGAATGTTGGTCCATATTGATTTCTATTGATTACTGCACTTATGCTAACTTCATGTCCCGTTCATGACTTGGGCTGTCTCAGTGCCACACTAATGGCACAGGAATAAGGGAGAGACTTGCACCTTAGTCCTAGGGTCCAACTTCCCTAATTATACCCAACATCCAACCCATCTGAGTTCTTCTGACCTCCTAAGGGTGCTGTCACCATTTCATACATGAATTTCATGGGTACCTACCAAACACTCATTCTGTTCCAACTTCCAGGAATCTCTCTTCTCCTCCTCTCCTTCACCTTCTGTGTCGTTTTTCACTCACCTCTGTCCCTGGAGGAAAAGGGGCACACAGAGATCATGTCTTTGATGTGTTCGGGCTTTTTCAAATGACTGAGGCTCTTTCTGCTCCACATTTTGCAAAAATTCTGTTCTCCTGATTGAAATGAGGTGAGGGAAAGATGAATAGCATAATCATCTCAAGAAATATCCTGGAGGCTGACTCTACCGAGGCTGCCGATTCCGGAGCCGGGCTAACTGCCTGCATGGCCCCTGCAGCTGCCAGAGGACTGGGCCTGGGACGGGCGCGGTAGCTGTGCCCAGAGCTCCACTCACCAGCATCTTTGCCCCCTGCAGTCCTCCCACGGGAATGACCATGGATAAACGTGAGCTGGAGCCCTGGCCAGTTCGGCTCAGCAGTTAGAGCGTCAGTCTGCAGTCCAGAGAGTCCCGGGTTCGGTTCCCACTAAGGGCACGTACCTCAGTTGCAGTTTGTCCCTGCCCCGGTTGGGTCATGTGGGTGGCAGCCACTCGATGTGTCTCTCTCACATCGATGTTTCTCTCTCTCTCTTTCTTCCTCCTGCTCTATCTGAACAAAAACAAAAAAATGTCCTTGGGTGAGGATAAAAATAAATAAATAAATAAATAAATAAATAAATAAATAAATAAAGGTGAGCTGGAACAGGCCCTGGTGGAGTAGTTCAGTTGGTGAGAGCATCATCCCCATACACCAAGGTTGCAGGTTTGATCCCATAGCCAGGGCATATGCAAGAAGCAACTGATGAATAAGTAAATAAGTGGAATGACAAATCAATGTTTTTCTCTCTCTCTTTCTTAATAAATTAAAAAATAAAGTGAGCTGGTACAGAAGGGCAGGCGCTATGATGATATGACCCCAGCCCTGAAGGCAGAACAGGGGAATGAACTCTCGGACGAAGAGAAAAATCTGCTCTCCGTCCTTGGTGTGTCATCTCCAGCATTGAAAAGAAAACAGAGAGGAGACCTGGCCGGTTTGGCTCAGCGGTTAGAGTTTCTGCCTGCAGACCAGGGAGACCCAGGTTCGATTCCCACTCAGGGCACGTACCTCGGTTGTAGTTTGTCCCTGGCCCCGGTTGGGGTCGTGTGGGTGTTTCTCTCTCTTCCTCCTTCTCTCCCTCCTGCTCTAGCTGAAGATAAATGTAAAAATGTCCTCAGGTGAGGAAAGAGAGAAAGAAAGAAAGAAAGAAAGAAAGAAAGAAAGAAAGAAAGAAAGAAAGAAAGAAAGAAAGAAAGAAAGAAAGAAAGAAAGAAAAAGAAAGGAAGGAAGGAAGGAAGGAAGGAAGGAAGGAAGGAAGGAAGGAAGGAAGGAAGGAAGGAAGGGGAGGGAGGGAGGGAAGAAAGAGAGAGAGAGAGAGAGAGGAAGAAAGAAAGAAAGAAAGAAAGAAAGAAAGAAAGAAAGAAAGAAAGAAAGAAAGAAAGAAAGGAGGGAGGGAGGGAGGGAGGGAGGGAGGGAGGGAGGGAGGGAGGGAGGGAGGAAGGAAGGAAGGAAGGAAGGAAGGAAGGAAGGAAGGAAGGAAGGAAGGAAGGAAGGAAGGAAGAAAGAAAGAAAGAAAACAGAGAGGAACAAGAAGCAGCAGCAGATGGGCAGAGAAAACCGTGAGAAGACAGACGCAGAACTGCAGGACATCTGCAACGATGCTCCGGAGCTGTTAGACAAATACCTTATTCCCAGTGCCACACAACCCGACAGTAAGGTGTTCTACTTGAAAATGAAAGATTATTTTAGATATCTTTCTGAGGGCGCATCTGGAGACAAGAAGCAAACCACTGGGTGGAAGTCTCGACAGGCTTACCAGGAAGCGTTTGAAGTTACAAAGAAAGAAATGCAGCCTACACACTCAATTCCACTTGGCCCGGCACTGAATTTCTCAGTCTTTTACTCTGAGATTCTGAACTCTCCCGAACAGGCTTGGAGCCCGGCAAAAATGGCGTTTGATGAAGCATTTGCTGACTTGGACACACTGAATGAACAGTCGTGCAAAGGCAGCACCCTGATCATGTGGGGCTTAAAGACAATCTCACTCTGTGCACATGGGAAAACCAGGGAGATGAGGGAGATGCTGGGGAGGGAGAGAACTAATCATGCTTCGTGATCTGTTCAGTGTCGCTCTGAACCCTCCACATACATCACTTTGTGTGATAAAAAAGCAAAATGCCCAGCCGGTGTGGCTCAGTCGTTGAGCATCGACCCATGCACCAAGAGGTCACCAGTTCAATTCCCAGTCAGGGCACATGCCCAGGTTGTGGGTCCGATCCCCAGTGGGGGGCATGCAAGAGGCGGCCAATCCATGTTCTCTCTCATTGATGTTTCTATCTCTCACTCTCTCTCCCTTCCTCTCTCTTGAAAATCAATAAAGAAATAAATTTTTTTAAAAAAGAAAAAAGAAATATAACACTAATAAATTAAAAAGTAAAAAAAAATTCTGATATAGCTGAAAAACATTGTTTATATTACACACAATTATATAAATATATTATATATTATATATATATATATAAATATATTATATATTATATATATATATATATATATATATATATATATAGCAGAAATTTTAGGAATAAAGCAGAAATTGCTTGAGTCATGGTTCTGCAACTTAGTAGTTCTGTGACTTTGGGTCAGTTATTTTCCCTTTCTGCACCTCTCTCTGCTTTTCCAAAATAGAGACATATACTGTTTATCTAATAAGACAGTTGTGAGGATTAAATGAGATCTTAAGTGTGCTGAGCACAAGGTGCAACATATACCACTGTCTACTCATAAGAACCTTCCCAAGTTGCTTTTTCTACTACAGTACGTGAGAAGTAAACCATATACAAAAATCAACTCAAAATAGGTTAAAGATCAAAATGTAAGAACTAAAACTATAAAACACTTAGGAGAAAAGCTCAGGGGAAAGGTCTTATAATGTTGGATTTGGTGACAAAAAGGCAAATGCGACAAGAAAAAATAGAGAAATTGCACTTGATCAAAATTAAATACTTGGGCACATCAAAGGACACTATCAACGGAATGAAAAGGCAACATACAGAATCACAGAATATATTTGCAAATCATCTATCTGACAACGGATTAATATTCAGAATATATAAGAAACTCCTAATACTCAACAACAAAATAACAAATAGGCCGATTTAAAAATGAACAAAGGAGATACGTTCATTAGATCACTCCTTTCCACCGGTGGGTGCCATGGAGTAAGCATCGTTGAAGTCTCTCCTCCAGCAGCAGTCATGTCTAAGTCAGTGTCTCCCCAAAGGGCAAGAACAGCTGCAGAAGCTCTTTATCAGAGGTTTGGGCTTTGAAACAACCCATGAGGGTCTGAGGAGTGTGTATGAGCAGTAGGGATGCTCAGACTGTGTGGTGATGAAAATCAAACACCACGGACTCCAGGGGCTTTGAGTTGTCATGATGCCACTGTGGAGGAGGTAGATGCATTCATGAATGCAAGGTCACACAAGGTGCTGGAAGAGCTATGGAATGCAAGAGGGCTGTCTCAAGAGAAGATTCTCAAAGACATGGTGCCCACTACACTGTGAAAAAGATTTTTGTTGGTGGTATTAGAGAAGACAATGAAGAACATCACCTAAGAGGTTATTTTGAACAGTATGGGGAAACTGAAGTGATTGAAATCAGGACTGACCTAGGCAGTGGCAAGAAGAGAGGTTTGTTCTTGTGACCTTTTTTTTCTAATTTTTTAAATTTATTTTTAATTAATTAATTAATTAATTTTTGTTGCAGATGTTTCTCCTTTTCCCCCACTGATTCCTCCCTCCCCCTCCCTCCCCGCCCTGTCCCCAGCTTTGTTGTCCATGTCCACTGTTCATGCTCACATGCATATAAGTTGTGTGGTTTATCTCTCCCCCACCACCCTCTCTTCTGGGGATTGTCAGTCTGTACCCCACTTCCACATCTCTGGGACTACCCCATTCCTCAGACTGTTATGTTCATTATATTCCACAAATAAGTGAGATGATGTGATACTTGTCTTTCTCTGTTTGGCTTGTTTCACTTAGGATGATACTTTCCAGGTCCCTCCATGTCGTCTCAAAGGATAAGAGATCTTTCTTTCTTACAGCTGCATAGTACTCCATTGTGTATATATACCACAGCTTTTTTATCCATTCGTCTACTGATGGACATTTGGGAAAATAAACTCAAAATGGATAAAAGACTTAAATGTGACTCATGATTCCATAAAAATCCTAGAAGAAACTGTAGGCAACAAAATTTCAGACATCATACGCAGCAGAATTTTCACTGATACATCACCTAAGGCAACAGAAACAAAGGAGAAAATGAACAGATGGAACTACATCAAACTCAAATGCTCTTGTGACCTTTAATGACCATGACTCCATAGACAAGACTGCCTTTCAGAAATACCATAATATGAATGACCATAACGTGAAGTAAGGAAACCCTAGCTAAACAAGAGGTGGCCAGGGATTCATCCAGCCAAAGATGTCAAGTGGTTCTGGAAACTTTGGTGGTGGTCGTAGATGTGGCTTTGGTGGGAATGACAACTTTGGTTATGGAGGAAAGGTCAGTGGTTGAGGTGGCTTTGGCGGCAGCCATGGTATGATGGTGGCAGAAAAGGTGGCCGTGGGATGGCTGTGATGTATTTGGTGATGATGAAAGCAGTTTTGAAGGTGACAAGCTACAATGATTTGGGTAATTATGACAGTTGATCTTCAAATTTTGGAGTCATGACAGGGGGGAATGTTGGAGACAGAAACTCTCACCCCCGTGACGGCGAAGACTAACCCTTTGCCATACCATGAAACCAATGTGGCCATGGCAGTTCCAGCAGCTCCAGGACCTATGGCAAAAATTTCCACTAGTGACAGGAAACAGAGTGTAGCTGGGAAGGAGAGTCTGAGAACTGACAGGGAAGCTACAGGTTACAAGAGATTTGTGAACTCAGCTGAGAACAGTGGTGACAGTACCTAGGTGCTACAAAGAAGACCTGTTTGGACAATACTCATGTGTTTGGGAAAAAACTCGAGGACAGTATTTGTGGCTGTCTAACAGGTTATTCTAGTTTCTGTTTTGTGCAAAGTGTAAAGCATTCCAACAAAGGGTTTTAATGTAGTTTTTTTTTTGCGCACATATTGTAGGGTACTAAATGTAATAGTCTGATCGTGATGCTGAATAAATGTGTCTTTTTAAAAAAGTGGACAAAGGACTTGAATAGACATTTCTCCAAAGAAGATATGCAAGTGGTCAATAAGCACATGGAAAGATGCTCAACATTATTAATCATTAGGGGAATGCAAATCAAAACCACAATGAGATGCTATTTTACACTCACTGGGATGGCTGCTACCAAAACAAAACCAAAAACGAAAAGCAGAAAATAACAACTATGGATTGGAGCATTGCTGATGGAAATGTAAAATGGTGCAGCTTCTGTCAAAAATGGCATAGTGCTTCCTCAAAAAATTAAACACAGAATTAGCACATGCTCCAGCAATTCCACTTCTGAGTCTATGCTCCAAAAGAATAGGAAACACACACTCAAACAGATATTTGTACACCCACATACATAGCAGTGTTATTCATAATAGTCAAAAAGCAGATGTACCCCAACTGCCGTTCAACAGATGCATGGATAAACAAGGTGTGCTATGTACATACACTAGGATGTTACACAGCTTTACAAAGGAAAGGAATTGTGACACATACTACAACATGCATGAACTTTGAAGACATGAGGCTAAGTAAAATAAGCCAAGCACAAAACGACAAATATAGTATGATGCCATTTATGTGAGGTACATAGAATAGTCCTATTTTATAGAGACAGAAAGTAAAAGTGGTTGCCAGAGCCTGGGAGAGGGGGCATGGGAAGTTGTTGTATGCTCTATGGGCAGAGTTTCAGTTGGGAAAGATTTAAAAGTTCTGGAGATGGATAGTAGTGATGACTACACAACAATGTGAATGCATTTAATGCCACAGTACTGTACACATAAAAAATGAACAAGCCTGCCCTGGCTGGTTTGGCTCAGCGGTTAGAGCATGGGCCTGCGGACCAGAGAGACCTGGGTTCAGTTCTCGCTCAGGGCATGTACCTCGATTGCAGTTTGTCCCAGGCCCTGGTTGGGGTCGTGTGGGTGTTTACCAGTCGATGTGTCTCTCACTCATCAATGTTTCTCTCTCTCTCTCTTCCTCCCTCTCTCTCTCCTGCTCTATCTGAAGATAAATGCAAAAATGTCATTGAGTGAGGATAAAAAAAAAGGGATAAGCCCTGGCTGGGTTGCTCAGTTGGTTGGAGCATCATCCTGGGCACCAAAAGTTTGCTGATTTGATTTCTGGTCAGAGCACATACCTAGGTTGCAGGCTCAATTCCTCTCTCTATAAAATCAATAAACGTATCGTTGGATGAGGATAAAAATATTTAAAAATTAAAAATGGTTAAAATGAGAAATTTTATGTTATGTATATTTAACCACAATAAAATAGAGTGCGTAATGACATTCAAGAATCACAAGCAGAGCCCGGCCAGTGTGGCTCAGTGGTTGAGCATTGACCCATGCACCAAGAGGTCGCAGGTTCGATTCCCGGTCAGGGCACATGCCCCGGTTGTGGGCCCGATCCCCAGTGGGGGGCATGAAGGAGGCGGCCAATCGATGTCCTCTCTCATTGATGTTTCTGTCTCTCTCTCTCTCTCCTTTCTTCTCTCTAAAGTCAATAAAGAAAAAAAAAAGTAAAAAGAAAAAAGAATCACAAGCAGAAATACCTCCTTTCCTACTAGAACAGCAACTTCAATCTAAATGTCAACCTGCACAAAGTAACCCCAATACATGTTATAAACTCAAGTATGTATTTCTGTAGGTCAGCAATTTTCAACCAGTGTGTGGAAGAGGCGCACGGGTGTGTGACAAGAATTGTTAAAACATGCAGTACCTGACTGTTTAGTCAGGGGCACTGACCTCTTTTCCCTGAGATTGTCAAATTTTAAAAAATGACAACAGCCAAAACAGCAATAGTCATCTGGTGTAATGAATGAAAATTATGCCTATTTTTTTTGGTCAGATCAGCAAAAAATATGTTTTGGTGTGCCACAAAATTTTAGT